GGGAAAAATGGTTGTTCGTGCTGCTTGCATGTTTCATATTTTTCGCTTTTAAAAAGAGATGGACGCCTAATCAGACGCTTGGAAGAAACAATCGAGGTAGTTGTCTTGCTTTTGCCCCTTCCAAACATTCCAATATACTTTTGTTTGGTTTTAAATAAGAAAAGTGCGAAGAATGCAAACAACACAAAATAAGCCTATTTTTGGGGAAAAAATTGAATCGATTCAGAATGGGAGCGGTGCACTTGGACACGGTGCATTTGGACACAGCCAATCACAGCACCGTGTGATTAGAGACATTTGTAGGGTCCCTTGGAACAGCGACTTGTGATTGGACTGTGTCCAATTGCCCCGTGTCCAACTAATATACACCCATTCAGAATCGGGCATCTCTAGTGTAGTGCAATGTAGTGCTAGTGTAGTGCAGTGCCAGTGCAGTACCAGTGTAGTCTTAGTACAGAGGAAAAGAACAGACCTATAGGCTGCGTTCTGAAATTCACTGCCAGTACTGAAATCTATGGGTGTTTACGTGTAGCAATCGGATTTTCAATCGGATTAATCGCAGTGATGTAAATTGTCTAGAGAGAAAGTTCCCTAGGCTAATCGGATTACCAAATCGTGTCCGTAAGGGACGGATCGGATTAGCGAATGCAGAGGAACATTGCGTATATACTTCCACATATCATAAAGCTGTGATGAAAGGACCAATAGGACCAGGCTTGAAAACCATTGAGAGAGAGAGAGAGAGAGAGTGCGTACATACTTACGTCTCTTAAGAAATAAATATTAAGAAATAAATAGAAAAGTAAATATGTGCATTATTATTTTCATTATAATTAACGTATATTCTTTTGCAGATGTATATAGACAAATAAGGATTATAAGGATTATAAGGATTTATTTCTATTTTACTAATATGTGTGTATTAAAGAAATAAGTACATCTTAACCTAAATGTGCTTCAGTCATTTGGTATGTATATATACATACCAAATTGACTCTGTTCAAACATTCCTTTCTCATTCATTTCCATAATTCCTTAACTCTGAAAATATTTTATATTTTAATAAACTTGTATGTTAACAACTGAAGCACATTTAGGTTAAGATGTATTTATTTCTTTAATATACACATATCAGTAAAATAGAAATAAATCTTTATTTATCTATATACATCTGCAGAAGAATACACGTTAATTATAATGAAAATAACAATGCACATACTTACTTTTCTATTTACTTCTTAATATTTATTTCTTAAGAAACATAAGTATGTACGCAACGTTTCTCTGCATCTGCTAATCCGATCCGTCCCTCACGGACACGATTTGGTAATGCGATTAACCTAGGGAACTTTCTGTCTAGACAATTTACATCACTGCGATTATATCAATGGAAATCTAATTGCTACACCTAAACACCCTACAGTTCATGTTACGTATATTATAGAATTTCAGCACTAGCAGTGAATTTCGGAACGCAGCCATACATTCCTCTTTTCCCCTCCTCACCTGATTTGCGCGATGATCCCAGCAGAAAGTATATCGTGGCCAGCCATTACATCAGAAGACGCGAAGAGTTTGATGTCGTCGTTGTTGAAAAAACGTGTGCGTTGCAAAATGTATCAAGTGGCTAATTCGGGGAAATTGATTTCTCCTGAGGAGGAACCAAGTTCATCGAAGCTACCTAACAATGTACCGGCGTTCCTCATGAAACTTTGGACGCTCGTCAACGATCCAAAAACCGACAACCTTGTTTGTTGGTCAGTGGTAAGTACAACTTCAATTTACGATCTGCAGTACATGTTTTGGTCGATTGTTTAGCACGATACAGCGAAATAACGCATGCGATCAACCACGTTCACGAGCGAATATTAGCGTTGCATTCTGTTTTTCTGATTGTTCCTGATGAATTTTCATTGCCGTCGGCACGTAATTATAGTCCAAAACAGCGTAAAATCCAATCCGCGATCCGGATGACACTTTGTTGCAATATCTGCATAAATTATATTTCTTATGCGCTGATATAATGTTTGTACTGTTTTTCAATTCGAAAACCTTGTATCCTTTAAAAACCACAGTTTAAAAATTTCTTTGTTTTTTTTTATATAAGTGAGATTGCTTGTTTGGTACTGACACATCTCAATTTAATAGTATCCAAGCGAGCAAAGTAAAAATTATTATTTACATTTACTACCAAGTAAAGCTAGCTACGAATATATGTATATATATATTTTTAACTTTATAACTACAACAAAATATAATAATTAATCTAAATACAAGAGATAGCAGTCCTAGGTTTGTATTAAGATAAAAATGCCAATGTAATATTTAACTCTGGACATTATTTTATTTTGGTTTTTCAATATTAATATTTAAACTCAATATAGTATACACATATACATACATATTGAATATATACAAATATACTATGTTAAAAGTTTAAATATTTGTATTTGAAGATCAAAATAATAAGTACACGTATTCAGACATTGGTACTTTTATCTTAATGATTGTCACATGAAACTCGTTTTATGTAAGATACTCAGATTTTAATTTGAGGTTAGATCTAAGTTTTAGTTTTATATTTGTATATATGTAAAATTATAGTTAGAAGTGCTATAGCACTTCAACTCATGGAAATTTATCAACTGTTGAAAGTTCTAACTTTATTTCTTATTTAAACATATAATATTGTATATATATAATTATATATAAATAATTTTTTGCTTTGATCGTGAAAAATTCTTCTATATAGGACTCCAATAATGTTTTCCACTTTAGCTTAGAGTATTTCTTTTCGAATGCAATTTGATGCATTTTTGTTCCATTTTAATGACTAAATAAGATTTGTAAATTAGATTTTGTATTAATTTTTATTAAATTTTCTTTCTTATTAACTTTTAAGGATCATGTATTACATACATGTATGAACAAATATTCTGATATATAATTTGATATTTTTTATAGAATGGAAAAAGTTTTATAATCAAAGATCAGACACGGTTTGAGAAAGAATTATTACCATATTATTACAAACATAATCATATGGCTAGTTTTGTACGTCAACTAAATATGTGTAAGTAAAAATAGGTCTTACATAATTTTTCTTTAGAGTATATTGATATAATAATGAGAAAACAATTTTAAATGGATTTTCACTTTTTAGATGGCTTTCATAAAAAAATATCTGCAGAACTGGGTGGCCTAAAATGTGATAAAGATGAGATGGAATTTGCGCATGAGTATTTTTGTATAGGACAACCCTCTCTGTTAATTCAAATCAAAAGAAAGGTATATTGTAAAGATATACTTTATAGTGTATTAATCATAGTGTATATGTTATTAAGATTTCTAACTTGCCACAGCTATATTGGATTGTGATGTCAGAGGTGAGAAATGACATGCTAAAAATTTATGTGTGCTATTTTTAAATAAAAAGTATTAGAATCAGGAAGTACTTTAAAGAACATTTTAAAGAACAAGACTGATTTTTTAAATAATTGTTGCAATTTGCAACTTTTTTTTTAATATACCTTTCCCCATGATTTTGTCATGTTATTTTTACAGATATTTATTGATAATTAAGAGGAGAAGATAATTTTCTAAGTATTTTATTAAATATGTTCAAACAATCTAAAGTATTCTTTTATTCAAATATCTTTTATTTGAAAATAGTATACAAAAATTTTAGGTGTATTTTTTTGCTTCTAGTATCATCACTCAAAAGTTCTGCAGCAATAGACCAGGAATCTTAAATAAATATTACACATTAGTATATCATTAGTTTTATAAATATTACACATTAGTATATTCATATATGTCAAATTAATTCACTTAGATTGCGAATAGCAAAACTCAAAATCAAGATACAGGAGGAGATCCAACTCTTAAGCGAGAATTAATGAGCAAAATGTTATCGGAAGTAAGATGTCTACAAGGACGTCAAGAGCAGTTTGACTATAAGTTGGCATTGATGAAGAATGAAAATACATTATTGTGGAAAGAGCTTATGATACTGAGACAGAAGCATTTGCACCAACAAGAAATCGTTAACAAACTTATTCACTTCCTCATTACCCTTGTACAATCAAGGAGAGGCAATCTAACTGTTAAGAGATGTCTATACCCGTTAATGATAGACGATTCAAGTCGCCCACGTAAAAAAAATAAATTGTCAGAGGTAAGATTATTACTCGTGATATCTCGTATTTAATATCACCTATAAATCTGTACAGTTGTAAATATTTTATATATATTGATATTTATAATTAATTATTTAATTAATGTAATTATTTATTTTTGTAGCCACAAGCCTCCCCTACCGGGCCAGTAATTCATGAACTTAGTACATCGGAACCTGGATTGGATTCCGAATATATCGTTGCCGAGTTAGTAAATAAATTTCATTTATGCCATTGCCTTTTCCTACTTGATAAAATTGCAGTTTAAATTTTGGGTATTCTGTCGCACAACACGTATATCATGTTAATCTATAACGATACATGTTTCATCTATATAATTTCTAAATTTCACATTAATAGTTTTTTTTATTTGACACCTTTGATTTACTTAATAGTTTATAATATGCATAAGGATTATGTATTGCATGTATATTGGCATTAATACATTCTCTATGATCGTTTATGTGGATATAAGATAAATATGTGTGGTCGCAAAAACATGATGTTAGTATTTCATGAGCATTGGTGCGCAACACGCACACGCAAACACACAAACACACGTACACACACACATATATATATATATATATATATATATATATATATATATATATATATATATATA